TTCTTTTCATTAAACTAGGCATACCCAGTTCCTGCAACCGTCCTCCAGTCAGCCTCCAGTCCCCTAATCATCTTTGTTGCTCTTCTCTGCACTCTTTCTAGAGTCTCCACATCTTTTTTGTATGTACTTTTTAAGGAATTTTACTGAAGTTTATTATTATTAGTTAAGCAATAATTTTTGCAGGTCAAAATGGGGGAATAATTCAAAATATAATCCTAGTCATAGGACAGTCTCTTTGAAGAAATATTACTACTAAGGTTTCAAACATTCAGAAAATGAGTATTGGGTTAATCTTAATTTTTTATGGATTCATTCACTTCACTTCTTATATTCCTGCACTGCTTCTCTGGCTTGGCTCTCGGATCTAACGTGTGCCAAAGAAAAGAGTTTTTTTTTTCAAGAGGAGGAATTGTGCCAGAGATACTGCACGGAGAGAGAAATCTCAGTGATGTGACAAAAGAGCCAGAGAGAGACAGAATGGAGCAAATCCGTCCTTAATGTTTGCAGGATCTAGAGAACAAGGGATTGTCAGAAGCCTGATCCTCTGAACCAGTATCCTTCAAAGTATTGTCTCCATGCCTCGTCTTTTGTGCCAGGGAGAAAACCCTGTTGCGATTGTCCTTGTAATAAAGAGCCATTCAAAACCAGCTTCCAGTTAAAAAAAAAATAAAATAAAAAAGCTATATATTTGAAAATGCTCTTATTGTGGTGAGTCAAATGAATTGATCCAGAGGCTTTTTTTTTTTTCCTGGAGACAAATAGATCCGCTTCTAACACCACAATTTTTTTTTACTTGGTTTATATTTTCACCTGCGCCTGTCTGTCGATGTGGGAGAGAGAGAGAGAGAAAGAAAGAAAAGGAAGATAAATCTTTAATAATGACCTGAAGGTACCACGGGCAATCTGTCCGTTCTTCCCTGGAGAAATTGTTCCTATAAAAATAGCATCCGTCCTAAGTGAATTTTATTAACAAATTGATCCAGGAACCAATGACGCCTTTGGCTTTGATTGCAACGTATCTGAACAGTTTTTTCTGTTGTGCGCAGTTGATCAATTCACAATGCAGAAAACGCTTCTGGACGGGTGTTCCATTGTACATGTGAGTACAAAATACAGAATGACAGAGTTGGAAGGGACCTTGGAGGTCTTGTAGTCCAACCCCCTGCTCGAGCAGGAGACCCTGAACCATTTAAGACAAATGGCTGTCCAGTCTCTTCTTGAAAACTTCCAGTGTTGGAGCATTTACAACTTCTGGTGGCAAACTGTTCCACTGGTTAATTGTCCTCACTGTTAGGAAGTTTCTCCTTAGTTCCAGCTTGCTTCTCTCCTTGATCAGTTTCCCTTCCATTGCTTCTTATCCTGCCTTCAGGTGCTTTGGAGAATAGCTTGACTCCCTCTTCTTTGGGGCAGCCCCTGAGATATGGGAAGACTTCTATCGTGTCTCCCCTGGTCCTTCTCTTCATTAAACTAGACATACCCAGTTCCAGCAACTGTTCTTCATATGTTTTAGCCTCCAGCCCCCTAATCATCTTTCTTGCTCTTCCCTGCACTCTTTCCAGAGTCTTAACACCCTTATTTATATTGTGGTGACCAAACCTGGATGCAGTACAAACACACACACCACAGTGGAGCACCTGAGGCTGAGCCCTTTCTCAGTTGTGCAATTCAGGGTTTTGTTTTGTCTTTGTTATCTTTTTTGCAATATGCAGATGTGCACTAGCAAGAGGAGAGAAAATATATCACCGTGGTAACAGAGATATAGCTGTCTTGACCATTCAGGTAATTCTCAACTTACAACAGTTCATTTAGTAACCGTTCAAAGTTACAACAGCCCTGAAAAAGGGGGAGTTATGACTGTTTTTCACACTTAACAACTGTGTTAGCATCCCCATGCTGAAAGGGCAAGCCACTTGTATATAAACAAAGAGGAAACTCAATCTATTCTAGCACTGATGACGTTCCCTAGTTGGTTAATGAAATGTCTACAAGAAAACAACCAGATTTGGACCCTCAGAGAGCATCGAGGGTACCCCTGCCGCCGCCTCCTCCTCCTGCTGTCCAAAAACCCCAATACTGGGGTACACAATCTAACACTGATGATGTTACCTAGTTGGGTCATGAAACGTCTGCAAGAAAACTACCAAGCTCAGAGAGCACCAAGGACCCCACAGTCCTCCTCCTCCCTCCTCTTCTCCTCCTCCTCCCACTCTTCCTTCTCCTTCTTCTCTTCTTCCTTATCTGTCTCCTCCTCTTCCTCCTCCTCCTCCTCCCCCTCCCCTTCCTTTTCCTTCTTCTCTTCCCATGTTACTAATCTGTCTCCTCCTCCTTTTTCTCCTTCTCCTTCTCCTTCTATTCTAGGAGCTGGTCCACACATCTTAAAGTTATTTAGTATGCTATGGCAGCTTTTAGAAATCATCATTTCCACACCAAAGGTTTGCCTTTGAAATAAAATTGATTACTTGAAAAAGGTACATCCGGACTCCTCCTGATTTTTTCCTCCTCCCATCAAGTTATTCACTTTTTGGATTGTGGAGTTAGAAGGGATTTATAAGATCAGCTAGTCCAACCTTTTATTCCTTTTAAGCCGCAATTCTCAAATACCGGCTCCCAGGTCAAATAGGAAATATATTATAGTATACACAGTATTATGTAGCTAGATTGATTTTGTTTTTATTTTTCTCAAGTGAAAAATTATAGTTGTTTTTGGAGCGGCTGAAAATAGATAGATAGATAGATAGATAGATAGATAGATAGATAGATAGATAGATAGATAGATAGATGCATTTTGCTCTGTGGCAGCTTTGCCTTCTGGGCCCATGGGACTACAAAACCCAGTGACACTGAGCCACCTAATGTGCAATCACTATCCTAAAATGCTTTCTAAACATAACCCTGTTTTATTTTAGCAATTCAATTGCTGAGTCCCTTATTTTTGGGGGGGAGGGCACTGTGTGTGCATTAATTCTGGAGTGCGTGCTAAGCATTATCATATAACAGCTGCTACAGCAACTTCCTTGATGGTTTAAGGAAGGGAGGCTGGAAAAACAGCTGAATTGCTTTTGCCCGCACATTGCAGAGGGGGGAGCTAGATGACCCTTGGGGGTCCCTGACTGATGAAACTCCACAGTTTCCGATGGTATGAAAATAAGCAAGAAGGTGGAATCAGGGTACCTGGGCCCGTTCTCAGAAGGCCAACAGGTGAAAGTGAAAGAAACATACATTATAAGACCAGGGCTTCTGGTTTGGTAGGGCCCAACACTGTGCCTAAAACAGGCAAGGACCAAGGGAAATTGGGGTCTGGGATGAAGGACTTTGGTGGTTGGGGTGCTGTTAAGGAACAAAGGAGGGGTGGACTAGATGTCCTTCAGGCTGATTCCCACCCCAGGATGCTGTGAACTTGGGAATTGTCCTCCCTTGGGGGGTCTGTGGAGCTGAAGGGATGGCTGTGCAGCTAAATCAGGTGGGAGTCTGGAGACGATTCCTTCTCCCCAGTTTTGCAGCCCCACTGAACCCTGAACTAAGCCCTGCCCCCACCCCAAGGTTGGCACCAGGCTGGAGGAGTGAGGGGGTCGCAGAAAGGAGTTAGTGGTCCCAAAGGCAGTCTTGCTTTTTTTTCTAGGTGGTTCCATCAACCCATCCATCCTCCATCCATCCCTCTCCATCTGTCCACCCGTCCATCCATGCATTCACCCATCCATCCATCATCCATCTGCCCATCTATCCATCCATTCCCCCATGCACCTGTCCCTCCCTCCCTCCCTCCATCTATCCAGCCATGCCTCTATCTATCCATCATCCATCCATCCATCGATCTGTTCATCCATCCTTCCATCTGTCCAACTGTCCATCTGTCCATCCATCCATCCACCTGTGCACCTGTCCCTCCCTCCCTCCTCTATCCAGCCATGCCTCTATCTATCCATCCATCCATCCATCCATCGATCTGTTCATCCATCCTTCCATCTGTCCAACTGTCCATCTGTCCATCCATCCATCCACCTGTGCACCTGTCCTTCCCTCCCTCCCTCCATCTATCCAGCCATGCCTCTATCTATCCATTCATCCATCCATCCATCGATCTGTTCATCCATCCTTCCATCTGTCCAACTGTCCATCTGTCCATCCATCCATCCACCTGTGCACCTGGTCCTTCCCTCCCTCCCTCCATCTATCCAGCCATGCCTCTATCTATCTATCCATCCATCCATTTCTCCATTCACCCACCCACCCACCCATCCATTTGCCCATCTATTATCCGTATGCCAATCCATCCACCCATCCACCTGTCTCTCCCTCCCTCCCTCCCTCCCTCCCTCCATGCATTCATTTATTTATCCATCCATCCATCCATCCATCCATTTCTCAAATCCACCCATCCATCCATCCATCATCCATCAGCCCATCCATGCACCTGTCCCTCCCTCCCTCCCTCCATTCACCCATCCATCCATTCATCCATCTATCCACCCATGTATCTCTCACCGGCCCATCCGTCCACCCATGCTCCTGTCTCTCCCTCCCTCCCTCCATTTCTCCATTCATCCATTCATCTATCCATCTACCCATCTTTCTCTCACCGGCCCATCCATCCCCCCGTGCCCCTGTCTCTCCCTCCCTCCCTCCCTCCATGCATTCATTTATTTATCCATCCATCCATCCATCCATCCATTTCTCAAATCCACCCATCCATCCATCCATCGTCCATCAGCCCATCCATGCACCTGTCCCTCCCTCCCTCCCTCCATTCATCCATCTATCCACCCATGTATCTCTCACCGGCCCATCCGTCCACCCATGCTCCTGTCTCTCCCTCCCTCCCTCCATTTCTCCATTCATCCATGCATCCATCCATCCACCCATCTCTCACCCGTGCCCCTGTCTCTCCCTCCCTCCTCTGTCCCGGCGCTTCCCCGGCGGCGGCTGTGGCTGCCCAGGCGGGGGGTGCTCGCGGGGAGGGGGCGGCGCTGACGTCAGCGGGCGGGGGGGGGGGGGGGGCGGTGGCGGCGGCTGGCACGGGAGGCAGAGCCGGGCACTCGCTGGCTTCCCAGGCGAGCCAGCCGGAGCCGGAGCGGAGCCGGAGCGAGGCCGCCGATGCCATGGAGAGCCGGGCGGGGCAGGTGAGCGGCGGGGTCCCGGAGCTGCCTCGGGCAGGGCGATGCCCGGCGCGGGCAGGGCCGGGGGCGTCTCCCCGAGGGAGGGGGCCGGGGGAGCCGCCCAGGCAGATGATGGGCCGCCGGGACTCCCGGCCACCAGAAGGCGGCGGGCACGGGGTGGGCCAAGTGCCCAGGGAGCCCCCTTGGCGCCTGGGGAGGGTCGCCTCTGCCCGCAGCTCCGGACTCAGCGCTGGAGCAAAGCCTGGCCTCCCTGCCCCCTGGAAGCCCAGCCTTGCCCATCATCCCCACCCAGGGGAAGACATGCAATAGCATAACAGATCACCGAAGTCACCGAAGGACAGAGTCGGGAGGGACCTTGGAGGTCATCTAGTCCAACCCCCTGCTCAGGCAGGAAACATTGGGGGGACTCCCTCACCAAGTGGCCCTGTTTTTGTCTGTAGTGGGGAGTTCCACCGCTTTGCAGGGCCCCTAAGCTGTCCTGGGGGGCTTCTGGGACCCCCAGAGCTGCTGGGGCCCCTTCTGGGATGAGGGAGCCGGCTTCAAAGCACCTGGAAGTAGAAGGTCCCGGCCAGATGCCCATCCTGACGGCACCCCCAAGGCTGGTCCCCAACAGTTGATGCCCTCCAAGGTGGCATCTCTGCCATCCAGGCTTCTTCTGGCCTCTGGGCATGGATGGCATTCAGAACAGGTAGTCCTCGACTTACAACAGTTCATTTAGTGACCGTTTGTAGTTACAACAGCTCCAAAAAAAATGACTTATGACCATGTTTCATACTTACGACCATTGGGGCATCCCCGTGGTCATGCTGTCAAAATTTATGACTCACATTTATGACAGTCGCTGTGTCCCAGGGTCACAGGATTCCCTTTTGCAACCTTCCCAGCCAGTTTCTGACATGCGAAGTCGACAAGGGAAGCCAGGTTCGCTTCACGACTGCATGAGTCACTTAGCAACGGTAGTGATTCGCTTAGCGACTGTGGCAAGCAAGGTCGTAAAATGGGGCGCAACTCACTTAAGAGTTGCTTCGCTTATCCATGGACATTTTTGGTTCAATGGCGGTCATAAGTCAAGGAGTACCTTATAGAGTCTTTTGCATTGAAATTCATTTAAATCAAGTTGCAAGTTTTGATAATTCATTAACTCAGTGAAGAATTTGATGAAATAAGGAGGGAAGTTATTATCAAAGTGAAGAGAGAAACTGGCTTTCACAAAGCCTAAAATTTGGATCGTGGGAATTGGGCATGGCGGTTGATTAAACCGAGGTTTGGAGTTTAGGTGACTTACACACTCCGACAATTGTCATGTGTAGAATAAACTCTGTTTGTTGTGTTCTGGTGGGGATTTTTTTTCACAATATGGGCCTCCAAATGTGGAATGCTTTGGGTGGCTGAGCCGTGAATAATCCTGTGTGGCTTTTATTGATGTTCGTGGAAATCAAAACGGTGGAGAATTAATTGTAAAGATTTCTGCTGATTGTTTTCAAAACAATTTGAAAACAATTGTTTTGTTTTCTTTGTTTTCTTTGCTTAGAGCAGGGTTTCTCAACCTTGGAAGCTTGAAGGTGGGTGGACTTCAACTCCCAGAATCCCCCAGCCAGTGCTGCCAGTGCTGCTGGCTGCCAGCGCTGCTGGCTGGGGGATTCTGGGAGATGAAGTCCACCCATCTTCAAGCTACCAAGGTTGAGAAACACTGGCTTAGACTTTCTTGGCCTTAAAGTTTTACAATAAATACAGTAATTTAGACAAAAAGGAGAATTAATTGAAGCGAGGCATTCAAAGGGGGAGAGGCTACTGATTTTATCAGTAAGAATAAAATTCCATTCCCGTCAGATTAAATGGAATGAAATCAAATTAAACTCAGCCACGTGATTTAGCAAATTGTGACGAATCAGGTCCTAAATCTGTATGGAGAGACTCCAGGAGAATTTAGTTTTGCAGGTAGTCCTCGACTTACGACCACAATTGAGCCCCAAAACTTCTGTCGCTAAGTGAGAAGGTTTTGCCCCATTTTACGATCTTTCTCACTAACAGTCCTTAAGTGAATGACTGAGTTAAGTTAGTCGCACGGTTGTTAAGCGAATCCGGCTTTCCCCCCCCTTGATTTTGCTTGTTGAAAGGTCGCAAAAGGGGATCGCGTGACCTCAGGACTCTGCCGATCGTCATAAATATGAGTCAGTTGCCAAAGTGCCCGAATTTTGCAGCACGTGGATGCTGCAACGGTCATAAGTGTGAAAGCTGGTCATAAGTGACTTTTTTTCAGTGCCGTTGTAACTTTGAAAACTGGTCACTAAGTGAACCGTCGTAGGTTGAGGACTGCCTGCAATGGTTCTCAAGGGTGTGAATCAGTAGTGGGTTTCAAATCCCGGCGCTACCAGTTCACTATTGGTAGCACACGGCACTTCTGCGTGTGCACAGAGCGTTTTCGATGATGTCTGGGCAGTTGGGCGGAGCCGCCTGCCACCGCCGCTACAGGTTTGTCTGAACCGGGGCAAACCAGTAGAAACCCACCACTGGCGTGAATGTGTGGGTACGCAGAACTCGGTGACTCTGGAGGTGCTACAGGTGCCTAGATCAGTGTTTCTCAACCTTGGTAGCTTGAAGATGGGTGGACTTCAACTCCCAGAATCCCCCAGCCAGCAGCGCTGGCTGGGGGATTCTGGGAGTTGAAGTCCACCCATCTTCAAGCTTCCAAGGTTGAGAAACACTGGCCTAGATGGATGTGTTTACTGAAGGTAGAGCCTCCACCTGCGCTGACAAGGTTTGTCTGTGCCAGGTGAATTTCACAGACCCCTCCCCTCGTCTTCCTCCATCCCTCACCCCAATGGACCACAGCTCTGTTGGCTGGGGAATTCTGGGAGTTGAAGTCCAGACATCTTAAAGTGGCTAAGGTGTAGAACAGAGGTGTCAAACTGGCACCCACCCACTCTCCTAGAGAATGAAATATTTTGGGGAATATTAAAAAGGCGGGATAGAATATTTCCCCTTAAGAAGAAGTGTGGGGGGGGCAACCTTAAGGGAGGCAGAAACCAGCCCCAATCTCCCTGCCCCAAGCAGAAACTGAGGAGGCCAGCTTTTAGAAATGCAGATTGGGTAATCCATTCAGAAAGACTGGGTCAGACCGAAACTCCAGATAAGCAACGCAGTTAGGCAAGCCAAAGGTTGACAAGATTAGCTCTGACAAAACACCTAGGATTTGCATTTCCTCTTTTGCCTGTAGAGCCAGCCATGACCCCTACACAACCCCATGGAATCGAGAAAACATTAAAAAAAACCCATTCTACTCTCAACTCCATTTTGTCAGCTGTCCCAGAACGCTGTGTGTGTGTGTGTGTGTGTTGGCCTCCAATTGGCCTCCATTTTATTCCTGGCTTGGACCTGGATTTTTCTTCCAACAAAGGTTGAAGAACACTGCCCTAAAACAGGGGTCTCCAAAATGTGGCCACTTTAAGAACTTGTGGACTTCAACTCCCAGAATTCCTCATCTAGCCATGAGGTCATCTCCCGTATGCTGGTTGAGGAATTCTGGGAGTTGAAGTCCACAAGTCTTAAAGTGGCCATGTTTGGAGACCCCCTGCCCATAAAAATTCAGCCTCTTGCCTTGAAATATCAGTAGATGCAGACGAGATTATTCTTCTGGCTCGTCCTTTTAAGGTTCTGTAGCCCATCATTTTTTGACTTTAAAATCCTCTCCTGCAGTTCACCTGGGCGACATCTTGGTGTTGGAAGAAATATCCATCTGGTTCATTTCCAAGCCGGGGGAAAAAACAAAATGGAGGCTGGAGGCTGATGGAAAGAGGGTCCATTTATTGATAAAGCAGAACCACCAAGCACGTGTGATTCTGGGTAACTGACCACATGGAGTTGAGAATGAGGGTTATTTATACCTTCTGTTGGGCCTTGCCCTTGAGCTTCCTGTTCCTGTGCAAGAACATGTATTCTATTGACTGTTGTCAGACTCCTGTGGGACCATGTGCAAATCTTAGGAGTTTGTCTGAGATAAAGTTTGGTTGAAGTTTGGGCTCATGCAATGAAGGGGGCTTGTTGGGCAATTCTTATTGTGGCTGAGGGCTAACCCTACCATGGTTCAGACGTTGCTGCAGGGAGTAATGGGTTACCAAATCTGCCTTTCTAAAAGCTGGCCTCCGCTTAGTATCTGCTTGGGGGCAGGGAGCTGGGGCTCTTTTTTTTTTTGCTTTAATTTATATGACGCCCTTCTCCAGAGACTCAGGGAGGCTTACAATGCGTTAAGCAATAGCCTTCATACTTTTGTATATTTATACAAAGTCAGCTTATTGCCCCCACAATCTGGGCCCTCATTTTACCTACCTTAGAAAGGATGGAAGGCTGAGTGGACCTTGAGCCTGGTGAGATTCGAACTTGCAGTAATTGCAAGCAGCAGATGTTAATAACAGTGCTTTAGTCCACTGTACTACAGGCTCTGAGTTGCTGTCTTTAGAAACATGCTTCTCCTTTAGGGAAATATAACATTCCGCCTTTTAAATATTTTTTAAAATATTTCATTCTTCTGGGAGGGGTGGGGGGGCTTCCCACATTGGCTTCTACACAGGAGGCTCCAGGTAGATCTGGCCAGGGGTGCATCATAAAAACGCCAGTCTCAGTTTCCTTGACAAAACCCATCTTGATTTTCTTGCTCCAGCTTTGATTAAAACGTTGGTTTTTTTTAAAAAAAAAATGCATTTGCATTCAGAGAAGGGCCTTGCTTGTCAGAGGCTGCTGCCATCAGAAGCAACGGATGTTCCCTGTTCTTGGTTCACAAAATACAGCTAGTCCTCGGGTTATGACCGCAATTCAGCCCCAAATTTTTGGTGCTTAAGTGAAACGTTTGTAGAATGAGTTTGCCTCATTTTACGATTTTTCTTGCCCCCGTTGTTAACTGAATCGTTGCAGTCACATGGTTGTGACGTGAATCTGGATTCCCCGTTGAGTCTGCTTGCCAGAAGGCCGTAAAATGGGGTGAAACTCACTTTACAACTGTTTCGCTT